GTGCCCCCGCCGCTCCCGCCGCTCCTGCCGCTGCCGCCGCTCCGCGCCCCGCACCCGCCGCCGCCATGGAGGCCATCAAGAAGAAGATGCAGATGCTGAAGCTGGACAAGGAGAACGCCATCGACCGCGCCGAGCAGGCGGAGGCTGACAAGAAGCAGGCGGAGGACCGCTGCAAGCAGGTGGGCCCCCCCCGTCACCCTCCCCGCGGTGCGGCCAGGGGACCGTGCCTTGGGAGTGACTACCCTCGGGGACATTGCCATGTGAGGTGCGCAGCACTGGAAACCTCACCCCAATGGCCGTCCAGCCCTGGGGACCTCACTGCTCCTGGTGTCCAACCCTGGGGACCTCAGCCTGCTGAGTTTCCCACTTGGAAGACCACTGCCCTAAGGGTGCCCGCCCCCAGTCCTCTCACCCAAGAGGGTTGCCAGCCTTGGTGACCCTCCCCACTGGTGTCCAATCCTGGGGACCTCACAACATGGGGTGTCTAACTGTGGGGACCTCTGTCCCACTCAGTGCCCAGCCCTGGGGACATGTACCCCATCGTACTGACCCACCACTCAGCTTGGTCAGCCTCAGATGCAGGCTGTGCCTTGGTGGGACCCCTCAGTGCCCCACCTGCCACCTCCTCGTCCCTCCCTCATGGAGAACTTTGGGACAATTTACTCTCATCCCAGGTGCATAGAGAGGGAGATCTAAGTGGCCTCTGGAGTTGTGTCCCAAAGGTGGGACCTAAACAGTCCCCAGCACAGGGAGGAGGCCGCCACCTCCTTTCCCCCATCAGGCTCAGGGATACTAGAGGCTGCCCTGGCCCTGGGGACCCCAGTGCTCCCCAAGGACCTGCAGCCCAAAGCTGGAGGAGCGAGGGTGTCCTTGTGCTCCCTTCCCACACCCCCCCGTCTGGGCCATGATGGGATGAAGGTGGCTGTCCTCCCCAGCCCCACGGGCACTGCCAGCGCGCTGGACACCTCCGGCCCTGCGTGCCCCCACCCTGATCCCTGTGCTCCCTTCCCCAGCTGGAGGAGGAACAGCAGGGCCTGCAGAAGAAGCTGAAGGGCACGGAGGATGAGGTGGAGAAGTACTCCGAGTCCGTCAAGGAGGCGCAGGAGAAGCTGGAGCAGGCAGAGAAGAAAGCTACAGACGTACGTAGGTTCTCCAGCAGCCCCTTCCGATGCACGCACCAGACTGGGGTGGGGGTGGGGGGGGCAGCAAAGGAAGAGGGTAGCCTTATATGGAAAGCATCTGTGGGGAAGACTGGCAGGATCCCATTCCTGGGACGCTGACCCTGAGCCAGGCTGAGCAGCGGCGCATGCAGGGCCAGGAGCAGCCTGGGGCCGGCCGTGCGTGGGGGCAGCTGCTAGCTTTGCCGGACCGCGGTGGGTAGAGCGGAGCCGCGCCTGCCTGGCTCAGCCCTGTGCCCCGGCAGGGACAAGGACCCAGCTGGGTTACCGTCCCTGGGCACGCAGCTCCCGTCCTGCCGTAGGAACACACCTGGTCGGCTCTGTAGGGCGCTCCTGGTGGGTCCGGTGGGCAGCCTGGCACCCTGTGAAGGACACGTCCGGGACCGGTTTTATTTAGTGTTGTGGCTGATGTTTCTCCTGAGAAACGGATCCCACCAGGGAGATGTGAGGAAGGTGTTGAACTTGGCTGGTGGCAGCCGAGGGTGAAGGGCAGAACAGCTGTGTGTGCCCTCGGGGGCTGGGCGGGCTGTAACAACAGCCAGGCGCGCTGCCACACCAGGTATTTGACACCCTATTTGACACCCTATAAATAAATCCTCCTTTTGATAGCCAGTCCTTCTCTGATGAAAACCAACCCTGGAAACTGAAGGAGAAGCTAAAGGGGATCCATCTGGTACATGGCCAGCAGGGGCTCGGCCAGGCTTTTTAGGATTGAGAACAAAAAATTAAATCCCGGCTGGTTTAGGGAACTAAATGGGGGAGATGCGTCAAATCTCTGAGGTGGCTGCCAAGGGCAGGGGAGAGCAGACAAGGACGAGCAGTGGGAGGCCCTGGGGCCACCGGCTCCTCAGGGGCTTCAAAAGATACAGAGAAGGAGCTGGAGGCCGGGCGGCCCCAGGGCGAGGAGGTGCCCATAGCTGGTGGGGGGGGTCTCCTCGGGTGCAGGGTTGAGCTGATGCCTCTGTGTGAGCTCTGCTGCGGGCTCTGTGTGCCCTCGTCCAGGGGACAGGGGCACCCCTGGGGCGCACAGCCCTGCACCAACGTTCACAAATGCCCAAGTCCTGCTGGGCTGAGGCTCGAGGGGGATGTTTGCAGAGGTTTGTCCTGGGAAAGCTGCATCTTGGCTTATTGGCCTGCCTCAATTTATTGCGATACCCAAACCTCCTGGCTTGGCACAGTGTGGGCGGAGCGGCTGCAGTGTCTACACAGGGTTGGACTGGTCTAGGCGAGCACAGCATGGGGTGCCCTGGCGCAGGGAGGCAGGGGCAGGCACTGCTACCTAGAAGATGTTGGCTGTGGGGATGAAGGGCGCAGAGCGGAGCTGGCAGG